CCCCTCCCTCCCAGGCTCTCAAACCTGGGAGGGAGGGGGACACTCCAAGTGGCCGCGGCGCGGGCGCCGCTTCTCCCCCTCCGTCCCAGGCTTGAGAGCCTGGGGGGAGGAGGCAGGGAAGGGGCGGAGTTGAGGCGGGGCCGAGGGTGGGGTAATTAAAAAACGGGGGAGGGGGCGGCCAAAATTATTTTTGCTTTGGGCGGCAAAAATCCTAGAGCCGGCCCTGCATGTGTGGTACTGTTAAAATAGATGGTAGTGTTGGCTTAACTGGCTATTTCATTGATTTTCAAAAGATGAAGATCTTCTTGCCCTCAAAAGTGATGAGGGGCCATGAGACCTGTGGCTATTCAAAATTTTTGACTTAACTGCATAGTTATGTAGATGTACAATCACAGATCTCCCCCCTCTGCCTGACAAAATGTATTACACAAAAATGCATTGTGTATGCCTCTTGTAAAGGCTATCTAATGTACAACTCATGGGTACTATAAGGAATGAAATGTAATATTAGGAACTGATTACTTTTTTCTCAATTTCAAATTACTGCACAGATTTTTAATAATGTTAATTAATCTGCAAGGTTATTAAAACACTGTGCTGATTATTTCTGATTGTTTCTTTAAATCTACCAGCAAAAGATTTCTTTATGGAACCAAACTGCCTTTTTTTTCTTTTTTTTAAAGGTGTAGATGTTTAGAGTACATCTACACAGCAAACAATCCCCATAGCAGCGACTCTAAGAGACCAGGTCAACTGACTTGTGCTTGTGCTTCAGGGCTAAAAATAACTGTGTAGATGTTAGGGGTCAGAGCCCTAGGCTCTGAAACCTGGCAAGGGCGGGTTGTGTCCAGCCCAGGGCTCCAGCCTGACCCTGAATGTCTACACTGCTATTTTTAGCCCTGCAGTGCAAGCACTGCGAGCTAAGTCAGTTGACCTGTGCTATGAGCCTGCAGAGTTGTTTTTGCTGTGTAGACATACCCTTAAACTTACATTCTTGTCATTTTATTAATAGTAATTATTCATATTAATTATTAATTAATATTAATAATGAGAATTTGCAAAAAGATGAATCGTCAGAATTTTAACTAAACTGAACTAAGTCTTGAACTGGCTATATGAAACTGCTAAATCTTTTCATCTACCCTGCCTTACCGGCCTCAGAAAATCAGTGCCCAAGTGGTTATTAGTTTTTGTGGTAGAACCTCAAAGTCACCCCTCACAGATTGGAGCCCCATTGTGCTAGGCATTGTACATAACAGGTTGCCTGCCTCATAGAGCTTAAAATCTAAGTTGCCATATGAAATAAAACATGGTCTAGATCGTACTTAGTCCTGCCATGAGTGCAGGGGACTACACTAGATCAGTGGTTCTCAAAGCCGGTCCGCCGCTTGTTCAGAGAAAGCCTGTGGCGGGCCGGGCCGGTTTGTTTACCTGCCGCGTCTGCAGGTTCGGCTGATCGCAGCTCCCACTGGCCGCGGTTCGCCGCTCCAGGCCAATGGGGGCTGCAAGAAGCGGCACGGGACGAGGGATGTGCTGGCCGCCCTTCCTGCAGCCCCATTGGCCTGGAACGGCGAACTGCGGCCAGTGGGAGCCGCGATTTGCCGAACCTGCGGATGCGGCAGGTAAACAAACCGGTCCGGCCTGCCAGGGGCTTTCCCTGAACAAGCGGCGGACTGGCTTTGAGAACCACTGCTTTAGATGACCTTCCGAGATCCCTTCCAGTCTAATGATTCTGAGTCTCAGCTGCATCCTCTTTGATTTCACACACTTTAGACAGTACAGTTTATAAAACTGCAATAAATGGCAAGGGGAACATTTACAGGGATTACCTGTTATTTGTCAGCACTGTCAAAACAATTTGAAAGGAGGAGGTGGACTTTTTAACTGAAAAAGCAGTCAGGAGCCATTTGGCCCAAAGAGAACTACAACCCATCTGTTAAATGTGTCTTGACCCAATGCAAGAGCTAACATAGGATGATTGTAACAATAATGCATTAAGCAAGATCGTATTAAATTTCTTCCAGAACTTACTTTTTCAGCTGATGTCCCAACCCAAATCTTTCCTTAGTAGAGATCTGAAATACATCCACGGTGGGTACTGCAGAAAATGCAATATTGGTGATATGTGTAAATAGGAATTGCCATGCTAGAACAGGCCTACTTATTCTATTAGTGGTCTGATATTTACAGGCAATATTCTGTGCTAATTTATCCATGGGAAACACCATGGAAACAATGGTGAGGGCGGTACTCTTGCCTGAGCCAGTATGGAACCTGAACACGTGAGCAAGAACCAGCCAGCCAAGCACCTGAGTACCACTTCAGAGTATTGGCCCACCCTGTTTAGCAACCCAACTCCAGCCATGGCCATCTCATTTCCAAGTAAGCGGTTCTAGTCTTTTAAATCTCTTTTTGCAGGGAGCATTACTCTCCCTCACCTTCAAAAGATTTACTGATTTACTTACTCATTTAATCTCTTTTTGGTGGGGAAGTGGAGATTCCATTACTTGCCTTTCTTTATTTACTGTTCACTATTCTTTAAAAGCCCTTTGAGACTTTGGACCAAATTCTGCCCTCAATTACACCATGTAAATGCAAAGCAACCTCACTGAAATCAACAATATTCCCTGTTTTCACACCAGACTGACTGAGGGTAGAATTAGGCTCTTCCCCAAAGAGGACTTGCCATAGATCCTTTAGTATCTCATCAGCACCACACCATATTTTCTGGAGCAAAGTGTTTTCTCTCTGAGAGGCCTTCCTACCCAATGCTCATTCCAGAACTTTTTAAAAGTGTAGGAGATCTGGAATATTTTTGTTGCAGAAGGTAATTCTGCTCGGAAAAAAGAATATTTTCTCTATGAAATTTTAATTTATTCAAGTTCCCATGAACTATTATAGGACAGTAGAATTAGCCCAATCTGTAAGCATACAGAGACAGTCAAACTCTACTCAGACATTTATCTGTTCCCTGTCTCTATCTCTTAGAATGTAAAGAAAACCTACCAATTTCATTTATCTGTAGGGTTTATTTTTTGAAGGCATTTCAGTAAAAGATCCAGAGAGCTTGTCATCTGAATGCATCATGTATGAATCCCAATAGCCAATGACTGTTCTGAACTTTCATCAAGGAAGCTCAGACGTCGTCATTTATGTGATAGGATACAGACTTCATACAATTCCCACCATCAATACGCCCATATTTATTGGCTCAGATAATTGAAAACATAAGACATGGAGGCTGGAAACAAGCTTCCAGTTCTAGTATTACCAAAATCCTTTTGTAACATTTACTAGATTGAAATGGCAGATGGCACCAAGCACTTATTGAAGAAATCTCAATTCTTTGAGGCAGGATAACAACCAGCATATATTACAAGCATTGATATCGTCCAAACAAATGCATTTCATTATTGTAAGAAAAGAAAAGAATTATAATGATTACACTGAAAAAAAGAGATCCTAAAGATTTGGCTTAATATTTGAAGTTAACTTTTATCAGAATGAAATCGTGATTTTTAAGCATATGTTATTCTGATCATTATTATTTTTTTAAAGGCAATAAAAATGCCAGTTCTAATCTGAAATGCCACTGTTTGCCAGGTGCTCTTTAGAATGATTGTTTCATTTGCAAATAATTCAAAACATATCTTCCGTCTCCCTCAAATTTCCCTTCTTTCAAAGAAACATCTGTTGATGTTTTTATCCTTTTGTGCAGTGCTATTATTTAAATGCTGTTTAATCTTTCTGAGACAAACTGTGGTTGGATTTTCAAATGGGATGGATAATGTGATTAGCAGTAACAATGTATTTAGATTTATAAATTCTAAAGTGTAACTAAATCTCATATTTCAGAGCATAAGATGATTGCCTGATTGCCTGAAGGGTTTAGGAGCCCTTTCCCACACAATTAGCATGGGATGTGCTGCATTTCAGAACTGCCATGGTGCATTTCACTTCCTTTTAAACATCAGGTAATGGACACTGCCAGAAGGAGGATACCAGACCAGATGGCAGTGGAGCTGGAACAATTTGTATAGTGGGGGTGCTCTGCAGCAGCACCCCCAGCACTCCTAGTTCCAGCACCTATGCCTGATGGACCAGTGATATCATTTAGTATGGAAAATCCATTGCTCCCATTCCCAATATTGTTTCAAGTACTCATCATAGTACAGATAAATGAATTCTTGAAAAATATCTATTTCTGTCCATAAACTATACTCTAATGAATGGGTTTTGTTTTGCATTTTTAAATATATATACAGTGTATATTCACCTTAAACAGTTAAAGTTGGCAAAATTATATGCAAGTGAAAACAGGATCTTATAATGGCATGTGTTGGGCAACCTTGCAAATATACATATATTTATTTTTTCCATATATTTCCAAAACAGGAACCTAGAGGTATCTTATCAATATAAAAAATTCCATACTACTCATAAAAAATGGAAAAAAAAGAACATTGGTAGTAATCTGGCTAGGTACTAAATAAGAACAGAAATTTCAAAACACTTGTATTCTGTATAACACATTTGAAACAGCAGCCAGCCATATTTTGCATCCCTTTGAACATATAGTACATCTGTTTCTTCCATCAGTGAATGGCAGACACACAAGGAAAGATATACATACCATAAGGTAATAACAAGTTATTACTCAGAACAGTGTTTCATGGGGAAAGGTTGAGGAGAGAGAGAGTTCCTTCATATATTGATATGTGAGATTGAGCTCATTGTTCTTTTTTACTGAAAATCACTGGCAGAAACAGCAACTGCACTATACTCATAAGATCAATAATGGCAAAGCACCTGTCTCTCGCCCTGATCCTGCAATTGACTGCATACAGGCTCAAGGGTGCTTCTGCACAAAGTTAGCTGCAGGATTGGGGCCTATAATTCCTGTTTTAACCTTGTCACGAGTGGAAAAGTTTTATTGTCGCTTATGGTCTTGCTAGAACATAACCAGCTGGATAAGGATTTGCAAAGTTCACCCTCTGTTGCTGAGTGTGTTAGAATTTTGACTTCATATTGGAGTTGGCTAACACAATAATAAATGTTAACATAAAGTTACAATAGTTATTTGCAATAAATAAACACATGAACATTTATAAAAAAAAATATTCGAATAGTAAGATGTGGTGAAACAAGACACTAAGCCAAGCATAAATAAGGTACTGATATAATGAACAGATCACAGCTTGCAGAAAGCAGTTGCAGACAATGGAGTCCCTAAGAAATGGCTTACTAGGGTATTTTTCCCAGACAAATCATGACCGGAAAAATATCTTCATCGTTCAGGGGCAGAATTCTCCCACAGACATAGATCTGAACTGAGAGCCAGGATTGGAAGCCTCAGTGGGTGTGAATAGCAGTTCACATGAAAGTGTTGTACTGTAACTCCTCCAAGTGGATGCTATGGGCATGAACATGAAGGTCCGAGTCCGCACTAATGTAGTCCTCTTTGAAGAGGTGCAAACCCAAGACTTTTACATTCACATCTGCAGTGTCCACACAGGGGAGTTATAGCACAGCACTTCGGTGTGTACTGCTGTCAACACCCTTTTAGTCCAAACTGCGGGGCAGTGTAGACATGCCCTTAGTATTGATCATGCAAACACTTATGCAGAGGCTTAACTTGAAGTCAATAGGACCACTCACGATAGTAAAGTTAAACATGTGCAGATATATTTTCAGGATTGGGGCTTTAGCAATGAACATGTATATCTGCTACCCTATACATGGCTCACAACTAAGACATCGTACACAGCTCAGGAAAAATGCAAATGTGACTAACCTGGACCATTTAAGTACTGTGTAAGTGAACAGTGCAATCGCACTATTATAGGCTCTGTGCGGATTACATCCCAAGCCACAGCAATCTCTTCCTGATTCCAGAGAAAAAGAAAAACAACAAAAATCATTAGCCATCATCAGGAACTGTTTATGTTTTGTCAGTCAACCCTTGTGCTGGTGAAGAAATATTCAATGGAATGTACTCATCTAAGCTATTATTTTCATCTGTTTGCCCACTCCTGGGCTCTGCTCCATCAACTAGGAAATACTAGCTCAAGAGGAGAGCAAAAAGAGTGAACAGGGTGGGAAATACAACTGGTCCCACAGTAGAGGGCTAGAAGAAACCAGATGGCATATTCCCCCTTGCCTTGAGACTAAAGAAATCCTATCACAGGAGAGTCAGGTATTCATGAGGGTTCAGGGGCAAACAGAACCATCCTGTGTACCACGTTTACCTGGGGAAATTATATCAATACAGATGCTAATGCTGTTCCTAGAATCATTAACTTTCACCCTCGTAAAGGGAGGTTATTGCACAGATGTGATGGCAAAGTGAGAAAATAAGGAAAAGAGAAAGAGAAGATTACTCACCTTGTGCAGTAACTGAGGTTCTTCGAGATGTGTGTCCGTGTGGGTGCTCCACTTCAGGTGTCGGTGCGTCCCAGCACCATTGATCGGAGATTTATGGTAGCAGTGTCCACACAGGTTGCGCATGCACAGTAAGCATCTCGCAGTGCTGTTGGTGCCATGTCTAGCACATGCACGACCCAAGTCCTCCAGTTCCTTCTCTACCGCAGAGTCCTAATGGCGAACTCCGAAGTAGAGGGGAGGAAGGTGGGTAGTGGAGCACCTACACAGACACATATCTCGAAAAACCTCAGTTACTGCACCAGGTGAGTAATCTTCTCTTCTTCTTCGAGTGCTGTCCCTGTGGGTGCTCCACTTCAGGTGACTGTAGAGAAGTATCCCTCAGAAGGCAGGAGGGACTTTGGGTTCATTTGAGTCGTAGAGGTAAGTACGGTTAGAGCCAACTATGGTGTCAGCCCTACAGTCTTGAGTGATAGCACAGTGCTCAGTAAATGTGTGGACAGAGGCCCAAGTGGCTGCCCTACAAATCTCTAATAACAGAACATTGTTTAGGAATGCTACAGAGGATCGTGTGGAATGTGCTGTGATGTGTGTAGGAGGGTCTGCTTTTCAAATATGATAGCAATGTTGAATGCATGTGGAGATCCATTTAGACAATCTCTGAGTGGAGATCGCGCAGCCTTTTGAACGTTCAGTAGTAGGAACGAAAAGTCTAGGAGATTTCCAGAAAGGTTTGGTCCTTTCCAGGTAAAACTCTAACAGCCGCCTGACGTCCAATGTATGCAAGACGGTCTCTGTTGGAGTCTCGTGAGGCTTAGAACAGAATGTAGGAAGATGGATTGGTTGGTTCATATGAAAGGATGATATTACCTTTGGTAGAAATTTTAGGTGCAGGCATAGCGTGACTTTGTCTTTGAAGAATATTGTGTAGGGAGGATCGGCAATGACAGCCCCTATCTCACTCACCCATCTGGTGGAAGTAATAGCAACCAAAAAGGCCACTTTCATGAATAAATGTAGTAGGGAACAGGTGGCTAGGGATTCAAATGGCGTTCTGGTGAGGCATTTCAATATCAGATTGAGGTCCCAGACCGGAATAGGTTGACGAACCTCTGGGTAAATGTTCTGGAGACCCACAAGGAAGCGTTTAATAATGGGGTGCACGAAGATCTATGTCCCATCAATCTCATGATGGAATGCTGTTATGGTCATGAGGTGGACTTTGATCGAGCTCGCTGCTAAATCCGAGCATTTCAGCACCAGTAGGTATTCCAGCACTAATGGTAGCGGCGTTGTGGAGGCTGTTACGTGTTTTTCTTGACACCAGGAGGAAAATCTCTTCCATTTTTGAAGGTAAGTATTACACGTGGTCACTTTCCTGCTGTTTAGTAATACGTGTTTGACTTGTTCCGAGCAGGCTAGTTCGCCATAGTGGACCCATGTAGGAGCCATGCTTGAAGGTGGAGTTTCTCCAAATTGGGGTGAAGAGTGTGACCGTTGGTCTGAGACAGCAGGTCTGGATGGCAAGGGAGAGCTTGAGGGGCGCATATCGCCATATGCATCAGGTAAGGGTACCAGGCTTGCCTGGGCTATGTTGGGACTATGAGGATGACCTTGGCCTTGTCTAGGCGTATCTTGCGTATCACGTGTGATATCATGGGAATTGGTGGGAACGCTTACATGAATTGTGCATCTCATGTGATGAGGAAGGTGTCCCCCAGTGATCGTGGTCCCATTCCCGCTCTCGAGCAGAACATTGTGCATTTGCGGTTTGTCGGGGATGCAAACAGGTCGATGAGTGGAGTACTCCACTGGCGGAATATGGATAACAGGACTCCCTCGTTCATTTCCCATTTGTGGTCTTGAGAGAAGTAGGGTAGCAGGGAAGAAAGGAGGCTGAAATGTTTATGTTGCGGTGTATGCACCAGTTCCACACTTTCATGGCTTCGGGGCATAGTGAGTGAGATCGAGCGCCCCCTTGGAGATTGATGTAAAACATGCAAGCAATGTTGTCGGTCATTACACAAATTGATTTGTTCTTTATGTGAGGTAGGAAGAGTTTGTAGGCATTGTGGACTGCGCATAGCTCTAGTAGATTGATGTGTAGCTGAATCTATGCAAGAGACCATTTTTCTTGAACTGTATGCTGATGCATGTGGGACCCCCAGACTATCAGCGAGATGTCTGTCGTGATTACTAGTGATGGGGGTTTCTGTTGGAATGGGATGCCCATGATACATTTTCTGGTCTTGTCCACCAGTGTAGAGAGTCCAGGACACAGGGTGGTACTGTAAGTCGTTTGTGCAGGCTGTGCTTGCTGGGTATGTATACCGAGCTCAACAAGCCCTGTAGGCAGCACATATGTAGTCTTGTGTGTCGTACCATGAACATTGTGGCTGCCTTGTGTCCTGGCAGCTGTAGGACAGTCAAGCCGGTGTTTGGGGGCTGACTCTTACCTCTGTGATAAGGTTTGTCAGAGCTGTGAATCTGTTCAGGGGCAGGAATGCCTTGGCTTGTATGGCATCGAGATGTGCCCCGATGAAGTCCAGCTGCTGGACTGGGACTAGAATGGATTTTCGTTTATTTATCTGTAGCTCTAGATCCCTGAACAGACGTGTGATCATCATCTGGACTGCGTCCCGTGCTTCTTGTTGAGTTGGACCTTTGAGAAGGAAATCTTGGAGGTCAAGGGCTGAAAACCAGTCCCCCCTTTGCAGCGCTAGAAGTATCGTGCCCACTGTGACCATCTTGAACTTTTGAGTGCGTATGAACTTGTTGAGGTTCCTAAGATCCAAGATTGGTCTCCATCACCCATTCTTCTTCTGGGTCAGGAAGTAGTGGGAATAGACCCCCTTCTCCTTGTATTGCAAAGGTACTCATTCCACGGTACTTAGTTGTAGAAAATGATCGACTTCTTGTCATAACAGGTGCTTGTGAGAAAGGTCCCTGAAGAGGGATGGGGAGGAGGGTAGGGTAGGTGGTCGGTAGGTAAAGGGGATGGTATATCCCAATCATACGATCTCTAAAACCCATTGGTCTGTGGTTATTGATGCCCAGATGTGGTAGAATGGGCAAAGGCGGTGACCAAAGCATGGGGACGAATTGGGTGTAAGCACTGCCTGGTGAGGGAGGTCGTCCAGACCCTCAACCAAAACTTCAAAATTGTGGTTTGGGCAGAGCCAATTGAGAAGTTGATGGTTAAGACTGAGGTGCTGTCTGTCGCTGCGAACGTTGACGCTGTCTTTGGTTCTCGTATAGGCGTTGCTGCTGTCAGTTAGAGGAGGAGACTCTGGGCCTCTGATAAGATTGCACCTCCTTCTCTTTGCAGATGGGGTGTAGATCCCCAGAGTGAGCAGAATGGCTCAGGAATCTTTCATCGAATGGAGCACCTTGTCCATCTTGATTGAGAACAACTTCTCTCGGTCAAAAGGTAAGTCCTCGACCTTGGTTTGAAGTTCTTTAGGAATGCCTGAGAATTGCAACCAGGACACCTGGCACATCACTACGGCCGTGGTTCTGGCTGCTGTATCTGTGATGTCCAAAGACTCCTGGAGGGCTGTTTCCACAACGAGTTGACCTTTGTTTAGAATGGCCTTGAATTGTGCTTGTTTCTCAATATCCTATAGTTATCATAATCATATTTTGCTAATATAGCAGAATAATTGGCGACTTTGAATTGTAATGTCGCCGAGGAGTAAACTTTTGTCCAAAGAGCATGTATCTGCATCGGGGGTAGCGACCTGGCAGAAGACTGCCTATGTTTCTGCGGTGCTTTCTGCGGAGACGTCTGTGCCCTCCTCCTTGGTCTGTTAGAGGAAGGCATGTCTCCTGTCCCTGAAGGGAAGGGCGCCCAGATAGGAGGCCGGTGGTCCATCTCTGGTTGGAGAGATTTCTCCATCAAGATCATTTTGAGGCGGAGATCCCGGTCGCGCTGAGCTCTCATCTTCAGGTTACTACAGTGGGTGCATTTTTGTGGGCTATGCGCCTCACTGAGACATCAGACACACAAGGAGTGTCCGTCAGAAACGGGCATTGGTTTGCGGCAGGAGCCGCATTATTGAAAGCCTGGGAGCCAGCATCTTGAACAGTTAACCGACCCCGCTGCGGGGAAACTACAGGGAGGGTAAAACCGGGAGAAGTAAAAAAAAACAAATTTCTAATAAAACTAACACTAACACTAAATACAACTTTATAACTGCCTAACTAACTATCTAAACTATTATTTCTAAAGGTATGGGAAGAGTGAACACTGCCCCAGAGCTCTGTCTTCAGCCGAGGATGGCTAAGAAGGAACTGGAGGGCTCGGGCCGTACGCGCGCTGGACACGACATCAATGGCACTGCAAGATACCTATTGGGCATGCATGACCCGCGAGGACATTGCTACCATAAATCTCTGATCGATGGCGCCACGGCGCACTGACACCTGAAGTGGAGCACCCACAGGATCGCACTCGAAGAAGAACTATGTTTCCAGGGAGAAGGGGAGGCTGGGCAGCACTGTTATCTACGTCCTTTGCCACTCAAACCTTTCCCTAGAAGGGAGCACTGGTGGCAAACTATGCAAGGTGAAACTCATCCTAGGTTGTCTCCCCTCTGGGAGCATATGATGTGGTTCCATATAGCTAAGGCCCTATGGCAGCAAAAAAAGCAATGTACTGCCTTTGCCTCAGTTCATAAATTCATATGTTCCAAAGCCAGAAGGGACCATTGTGATCATGTAGATTGCCCTCTTGTTTATTCCCAAGGCAATTCTATATGAATGTAACAAATAAATAGCAAATAACTAAAAATATGTTAGTAATGAGTTTGCAGATTGACAAGAAAATGTTTCCACTGAGAACTCAGTAGCAATCAATAATGTGACAGGAGCTTGTAAAGATCAAGAATCCAAAGAGGTGAAATCTCTGACAGAATCTCATATAGGACAGAATTAAATGGGTATTAATGTTCATTATATAATTATATGATTAGATTACTTACATCAAGAAAGCTAACATCAATATGCAGATCAATGTCTACATCATCAATGGCTCCATATTCCCTGAAAAGAAAGAATTATATTACTTTCCAGCTACTGTTCAGCCCAAAAGCATCTATAAGAGGAGAGATCTTATTAAGAATAAAAGCAGTAATGGATATTAAAGTTCATATTTAACTGGGTGAGGCGAACTTTTCCATAATGGGTGACTTTTTGCTGTATTGAAAGGGATCAACTAACAGCCTCTGCAAATAATACTCCAAGCCTTCAATAACACAGATAATCACATTTGAGGAACTGCATAGCTCAAGGGAATTGTAATGGGATACTCTGTAATGGACAACACTGGGTAAATGACAGCTATTTACCTCTAGGTTCACATTTGGTTTGTAGTGACCAAAAGCCATTAACAACTGATGGCCGCAATGAAATGACAGCCTTTGTGTAATGAAGTGTTTGAATCCATTCCAGTTCTCAGTGAACAAGGTATCCACTCTGCTACAAACAGCATCACAACTGGTAGACTGAACAGGAACAGAAACTGAACCATCATTCACACTTAAATGCTTGGGTTCGTTCCCCATACAATAGATAAGATTCACCTGTGGAAACAGGCAAGGATCTTTGTATAAGGCTCCTGGTAATGGAAAGTCTGCTATGAGTTGCATAAAGCACCTACTACCTCACCAGTCCTGGGAGGCTTACAGGTGTCTAGTTCATCTCAGAAAGTGTGCAATGCGGGCTGGACAGCCAGGAGAGCAGGCTAATTAATTTCCTCCCTTTAATAGCTGCCACTGAGAGAGCTTCTTTGGATACATCAATGGAGGTTAAAGCTCCCCTTGGTGAAGGAAACCTTCAATATTATAACCACTTGTCCTCCCTGGGGTGAATCCCCCTATAACACTGCAGGCCAGGCTGATGCAGGGAGGTGCTATTTGTGCCTCCCTGAATCTACAAGAGTGCATCTGGCCTCATGTATCTATACCTCAGGTTTTTTGCAGCTGTACTGCACACCATCTTGAATTATTGAATTCTATAAAACTCACTGGGAGTTGTATTGTATTGTACAAAGTTGGTCCCCGCAGAACCGAACTGGGGCACATTGGTCAGGCAGCGTGGGGAAGTCTAAGCAGGTGTTGTTTGTTCTGGATCTACTTTGAAGATAAAAGGGTACTTAATTTTCCAGCAACATCAGTGTAACACTAAATTTACTTTACAAAAGGATTTTTTTTTTAAGTTGTATTCTCCATCAGATGCCACAGTAGTAAGGTGCATCTGTTTGGCCAATCCAGAACAAATTATAGTCCCTTTAAATGGTATTGATTTCATTAGGGGAAAAAAACTTAAAAAGAAAAAAAATGCAAGAATTTTCACCACAAACCATAGTTCTGATGCATAATGGGCATCATATTAAAAGTTGACTCCTTTAGTGTAAGGAGACAAAAAGAAAACCAATTGGCTCCTTTCTGATTATTCAGATCTACTTGCCTGTATCTTTTCTGTTTTCTGAGAGCTAGCAAGATGGGCAAAGTCTTTTGACTATGACCATAGAAGTGGATTTTAGACATTGGCTCAGCTTTTTCTTTCTTTCTTTAATTAATTAATTTATTTATTTATTGGGCTGGGGGTGGAGGGGGATGGTGGAATAAGGTAACAGTGCCCAATGAATCCTTTACCTAGTGTTCAACAACAAAGCAGCAGCTACACTGACATGGCACCATCACTGAAAAAGTATTGGATGCCCTCTGGTGCGGTTTTTAAAGTTTCTAAAGTTTGTGCAAGTTGAACATACTTTTCTGAGAGCAGTAAAGTGTACAACAGTAGCAAAGTGCATAATACTAATGAAATGCATAATGGTAGGTTTCTTGATAGAGGGTAGGAAAACTGCTTGAACACGAGCTGTGTAAGCAGACTAATACTTTCATACAGATGCCCAAAATGTTCTGCCTCCACTATTGCTCCGTGTGCTATATTTACTTCACATGTGGGACAGACAGACCAAGACCCACGACAACAGTATGGGTCAATTCTGCTCCATTCATGTCAATAGCAAACTCCCTTTGACTTAAGTAAGGGCGGAATCTTGCCTTAACTTCCAGTGGTCTATGGAGATGGTTCAGAGAGGAAGGTTACACTGATGATTTCTGTAATATTTTCCTAATTTAATTTTGACTTTACTTGTTTATGTTCTGTTACAGCTCAGGGGATGGGATCTTTCATCAACTGAACAATGTCTAATGCATTCCCATATATCTGAAGTTTGTCTGTTTGTCAAATTTCAGACATTACCCTCGGCAGCCTAGAGACAAGTTTCAAGGAAGAGTAGACTGAATAGCTGGGCAATTTTTTAGTTTCATTTCAGAGAGGGTTATGGATTACTGCCTGGATTTTTATGTGCTAAATGCTAAAATGAGGAAGAATTACATTTCTAAAGATACAAAAAGACATTAAGGGTCTTACAAACGTACCTAAGGGCCTCCCATTGACCTCTGCATTTAGACACCTCTGAAAATCCTCACTCTAAAGCCAAATAGTTCCTCTGTGGTACTAATGTGCTGAAGAGGGATGCAAAAAACAAACCAGAGGTTTGGGGGAGGGGGCTTGGGGAGGGAGGGGGGAGAGAAATCACACTCCTGCTCCTTCTCTGGGAAACCCTGAGAGGTACTAAAAAGAGTGTCTACAAACTGTTACAGAAAAATGAGAAAAGCTAAGACCAAGGAGACAGGTGTAGTTGACCTGACGAAACTCCCTTCCCCCTCCAAAAACCCCTGAGTGTCTGTCTAGTAATTTGGAGAAACTGCTAAAGAATAACGGAACCTTGAAGACTACCCTGTAATGTTGTCAAGGTCAGTGTTAGTTTGTGTTATCTGCCACATGCAATTAATGCGGGACTCCCCAAGGCACAGTTTTAACTCAAGCACATAAGTATTTTAAAGTGCTTGAACTTTTACATTTAATGTGTGACTGGTTTGCTTGAGCTGGTTTCTCTCTTGTATTCCCCTCTCATGTTTTGCCTCCTTTCAGTGACCTTCCCGCAGCATATCAAAGAACTGTTGAAAAATACAGGCGAGAACAACTACCTTTCACGTACATTAGACATAAAAGTTGTGTTATGTTCCTCTTCCACCTAAATTACTTAAGTGAATAGTATTTTAGAGCAGAATCAGCTGTGTTTTTTCCTTAAACGGTCCCTCTTCAAAGCATAACTGACCAGTGCTTGCTGTCACACATAAATGGGATAGCTTTCTTTTCACCCCTTTCCCACTGCTTCCATAGCCTGAGGTGGAGGTGGTAAGAAAGACCTCCCAGGCAATCTATTAAACTTAACAGTGGCCTGAGATTGCATAAACTGACAATCATGCAAGAATTAAACCGAAAAATTAACTTTAATATTTGAAAATATTTTGTCAATATACTTCAAACTACAGCAGCAGACTGGCCTTGCAGACAATGGAAGGAACCAGCACACAGGGCAATTGCCCAGCAGCTTAGTCCAGCCCTGTATAGACACAAACCCTGAGCCTTCAATGAACTTGGTGAAGGAGGAGCTTTATGAAGCTGTACTGGCTTCATGGAACTCACTGCTGTAAAAGGGCCTACATTTAAGATGTTGCAATATTGTGTGTACTAAGTAGCTAAGCTCACTAACATGCATTAAAATGCAACCAGTGCAAAAGGTCTCACATTTTTTATTAAATTGCTTGAAGAACCAAAGGCCAGATCCTGAAAGTCTGTGAGCAATGCTTATTTATGCAAGCAGGACCATGGAACTGAATGAGACTACTCAAGTGCTAATATTACTCAAGTGAATGAGTGTTGAAGGACTGGGCCTTTGAGCAAAATCCCACCATTAAATAAAAATGTAGGTGAAACAACAAAATACACAAAAGCTGAGTGAAATAAGAGGAGATAAAAAGGGTACAACCAAGGAATTTTCATGCTCTCTAAAGCCCACCCCCCATTCATAAGGGATTTTAGGGCTATCCCCCCTAATAAAGTTGCAGGAGCTAGGAAATACTTCTACCGCAGCCTACAGTGAGGCAGGAGCAGATGTCATCTCATAGTCCTGATGTGGCAGTGCAGCTCTTGAGATCTTTCAAACAAACCTTCAGGAGGCTGGTCCCTCAATAATCACTGTGAACGGACTCTGAGGGGTTTGGTTCATGTGGCAAATAAACAATGTGTGAAGGGTTTGCCCATCTCTAGCATCCAGAGCTCAGTGATGAGGAGCTGAATATCATGCATGCCTAGTGTCTGCAGAAACTCCTCTTTTTACCTTTAAATTTCTCTGGTTGATCGATAATTAGACAGCAGGGGAACAGGCAACCCTCACAGGGGATGTCTACACAGCAGCTGGGTGAGTGCTTCCCAGAATGGGCAGATAGACACACAAACTCTACTTGAGCTAGCATGCTAAAAATAGCAGTGTGGCTATAGCAGCATGGGCAGCGGCTCGGGCTAGCCTCCCAAGTATGTACCTCGGCGGTCAGGAAGGATTGTATCTGGGTGACTGGTGCTGCCACAGCCACACTGCTATTTTTAGCATGCTAGCTGGAGCAGAGCTAGTGTATGTCTATCCACCAACACTGGAAAGCGCCCTCCAAGCAGCTGTGTAGACATGCCCTTCGATATAGTCTCATTCAGCGGGTGCCCCCAATGTCATTGTCAGTTGGACTTGGTGCAGTCAGGGAATTAGGATTAGAGGAGAGGATGAAACTGAATGCCTAATGTTGCATTTTGTGGTTGCCAAAGATATATGGGTATTGTCAACTGCTGAAGAATTTAGGAGGCACAAAAGTTTTCCACATGCCAGAAGCACTCACAGATACCAAATTCTAATGAATTGAGCCCTAAGAGATGGCATAGCCCACAATGAAGAAGATTATTCAGTAAATTAAATGCATTAACATTTGTAAAAGGTTATATTCATTGTTGTAATGTTAAGTGCCTGAGGGAACATATTATAAAGGTATACAGAATTTCACACAGTGTAGCAGTTAACAGTCTGGCAACTAAATGATTATCTCATTCATTTCTTAAGTCATGTACAACTGCTTGGATTTAGAGTTCCAATGTCCTTTAAATCGAATGAATTTCCACTTAACTTCAAATGGCAGATAATGAAGACTTTTTTCTTTTACGAATATCATCCAAGGAATTAAATATATGCCATTAAAATGTACACTTGATAAATTAAATGGGCACGTTATTCAGCAGCACCACACAACTTTGTTTTAAACAATATCTCTTTTCTTAGAATAAAAGAGTTAACATATTATACAGGTTCATGGAAATTGTTATATGCAATATATGCAAGATGACCATTAGATCCCGTATAGTTTTTTATTTCTTGTCTTATATCATATTATCAAGGTGATATTTTCTCCATCACTTTGCAACCAGCTCTGTTAAATCTTGCCTACTGGTCATAATGTATTTATTAATTATTATTATTATTATTATTAAAATAATACCTCATGAAAACATTATGGACTACATGACAGAGCAAAGATAGTTTAACAAATATTTTGAGTGAAATTATCCTTAACAATAATTTTAATCAACATATAATAGCCCAATCCTGTCCCCATTAAAGTTAAAGCAACACTCTCATTGACTTCAATGTTTACAAGATGGTGCCTTGAGAAATTGTTCTGAGCATAGGCAGCTGTATTAGTAAGTTCAACAACATTACAAGGCAGAGCTCAGAATCATCACTGCTACATCATAATGTTCGTTTACTTTCCATTAGTTGATATAAATTATCCCCCTAGAAATCTGTGGCAGTGACGGATTCCGTGACTTTCCGTGACCTCCAAGACTTCTGCGGCTATCAATGTGGTTGACCCAAGGGCTGCCCAAGCAGCAGGCTCCAGGCTCCCCCTGGGGTCAGCCACACTGGGTGCTGCTGGAGTGGCTCCGCAACCAGCTGCTCGGGCGGCCCTGGAGCCAGCCACACCAGCCGCTGCTGGAGCAGCCCTGGAGCCAGCCGCACCGGCCATTGCTCAGGCGGCCCCGGACAGCTGGCTCCGGGAACTGCCCAAGCAGCGACCAGTGCGGCTGGCCCAGGGAACTGCCTGAGCAGTGGTTCCAGGGCGGCCGGTGCAGTCACTGTTCAGCGTCCCCTGGCAGCTGGTGCCACTGACCCCCTCAGCAACAGGCCCCCAGGGCACCCCCAGTAGATGTCGCCCCCAGCAGCATCCCTCTGGGGTGCCTCCTTCCCCCCAAGATTTAGGCAGGGGTATTTATAGTCATGGATAGGACACGGGCCATGAATTTTTGTTTATTGTCGGTGACCTGTCCATGACTTTTACTAAAAATACCTGTGACTAAATCTTAGCCTTAGTTATGACCCTTTGTATAGTTTGTGATGGCGATCCTACATAGAGGCCTATCTGCAACATGTCAAACATGCCAGAATATAGCCAACTAGCTTCCATTCCCTAAACTTATGCTGCTGATTACCAATTTTATGTCCTTTTTCCAGCCACAGAACTGACAAGAATTTTACCCACTACAACAATGTACCTGAGAGATACTGCATTAGGCCCATAGATCTCTCTCACTGCTGTCAAATCAGCTTCCAGTTGTGGGTGCTTGTGAAGTTCTCCATCGTAGTTAACCTGCAGATAAATGTAATACGGTGGGTGTTTTTATTTTATTTTTTTACTAGTAGCAACATTTTCATAGTATTCTAAGTGCAAATATGGTGGTGTTACTCAAGTTGTTTCGTGAATTTCATCTGGTCTTTTCTCTTCTATTGTATGCCTCCATGTTCCATTGATGGTATGTTTACCATGGTACTGTACCAAAACACAAGCTGCTGCTAAGGCCATATGAAAAAAAGAAAGGAAAAAAATTGACAAAGAAGCGATTTTTGTGAAAAAATGAAAAATTCACTTTCAATATTTCCTTTCTATGAAGATAAATGTCAGTTTGTTGATGAGTTTATTTAGCATCTTAACACTTGATCAATTTCATTTTTTACTGGGGGAAAAACAAATTGGCTGTGCAAGAGGAAAAGAGGAACTTATTTGCAAAAATTGTGTAAAATTGGCAAAATTCATTCCAAGTTCAACTACAGGCAGAGTTACCTCATTGTCCTCCTTCAAATTCCTCCTTAAAACTCTCCTTTGGCATGATGCCTATAAAAAAACTTGAAATGGCCAGGCCACGTGCATGCTCAGACCACTCTCTATCATTCTGACCCATGTTGTCTCATTGTTTCCTTGTACTCCACCTTCTGTCTGTATCTATCTGTTTGCTCTTGTTTTATGCTTAGATTGTAAACTCTTTGGGACACAGACTGTCTTTTTTCTTGTTTTTGTAGCGTGTTTAGCACAAGGAAGTCTTGGTCCCTGATTCAGGTTCCTAAGCACACAGTAATACAAGTAGCAGAAGTAGTAGTACTACTACTGATAATAAATATCTCTTATGGAAAAATCCTATTGCATTTAATAGGGATGAAATCTATGGGGCTCTATAGAAACTACCCAAAAATACAGTATGAAACCTTGGCCTCACTGAAGTCCCCCTTTCTTCCTAGATTTGTATAACTCTACTTGCTAATATTTCTCCAATCTAAAACCACTTCATTTTAAAAACAAAAATATAAACTGATAAAAAGTCACATGAGACAAGGAAATCAATCACCTAAAAAATAATTAATTAGGGATATAGTATATAATTTTCAAAAGCACCTAAGTGACTTAGAACTCGTCACTTTGTTATTATTACTGATAGCCTACAACACCATAAACTGTAAAGTGACATGACCTAAGATAATCTTCCTTCTTTATTATTCCTCTTGAAAATGTGTGAATAATATAGTAGGAAATGTATTGTTGCATATCTCCATTGCATATGGGAGGTAGAAACAGCCAATGGAAGTTTAAGATCATAGAACAAAATCGATAGTTTCATTAGACTTTATGAGGTCCATATAAGTTATATTTGTCTATACTCTATAAGGATCTACAACATATCATTTTAAAGGTATCAGGTATTGTCCTTTAGGAAAAAATACTGTAATTCATAAATACTTTTATAGTTATAGTGAATGTCTATAGATCAGGGGTGGTCAACCTGTGGCTCCGGAGCCACATGCGGCTCTTCAGAGGTTAATATGCGGCTCCTTGTATAGCTGCTGACTCCAAGGCTGGAGCTACAGATGCTAACTTTCCAATGTGCTGTGGGGTGCTCACTGCTCAACCCCCTGCTCTGCCCCTGGTCCTGCCACCACTCCACCCCTTCCCCCAAGGCCCCTGCCCCTCCCCCCGAGCCTGCCATGCCCTTGCTCCTCCCGTCCCCACCAGAGCCTCCTGCGCACTGCAAAACAGCTGATTGCGGCAGGCGGGAGCATGGGGAGGAAGGGTGCTGATTGGCAGGGCTGCTGGTGGGTGGGAGGTAATGGAGGCTGGAAGGGGGTAGCGAATGGGGGGCTGCTGACATATTACTGTGGCTCTTTGGCAATGTTCATTGGTAATTTCTGGCTCCTTCTCAGGCTCAAGTTGGCCACCCCTGCTACAGATGGTGTGGTCACCTTGTATCCTGTTACACTAGTTTAAATCTGGAGTAACTCTACAGAAGTCAATTTCCCCAGATTTGGACAAGTACAAAATGAAATGAGAGCAGAATTTGGCTTTGTCTCGCTGAGAAAGGCAAAGAATGAAGCACTAGAGTCCAATTCTGCCCTTCAAATATCCATGTAGACTTCCCACTGACAACAGTTGTTGTTACACAGGCATAACTGATGGCAGTACTGGGCCCTTGATTTGTATATCATATGTAGTAGTATTCTAATTCTGAGATTCAGTGGTCTGTATCAAGTTTGACAGTTAGAGATGCACATTTCAACTGAATTAAGCAGTACTCATCTGATCCCCCTCTATAAGTGAAAATTAGCCAATGGTAATTTGACCACATTTGGAATTCATCAAAGAATCTGAAGCCCATCTGAAACTCATCAGTGTAGCAGCAGCACAAGGTTACCAGACATACTAAGAACATTTAGGAAAGGGAGGGATCTGAGCTAGTGTATCACTGACTTATTCTGGTCAAAGATGGAAGGCATAGCTCTGGAAAGAGTCTTGTTCCTATCCTCTGTGCTGCAGAAGCTAGGGTCTAATATAGGGAAGGGGAAAAGGATGCTGCTGCTGGGGGACTGGCATTTTGCTGAGTCAGACAGAATGAGTTGTCAGGGAGAGGGTGAGTAAGGTGAGGGCAGCAGGACTCCCATCCCTATACCCCTCCCCCTCAGAAGGAAAAAAACTAGGACCCCATTACTCTCTCAAGTTGCTGACATAATCATAAGCTCATCCTTTATTTTTTCATGTTAGATGAGGGAAAAAACTATCTTCTTTTTTTTTTAAATAAAAATTCTGACACCATATATATATACTCCAGAGTTCTCAACCAGCGGTCCAGGGCCCCCTGGAGGGCCACAAGCAGGTTTCAGAGCGTCCACCAAGCAGGGCTGGCATTAGACTTGTTAGGGCCAAGGACAGAAAGCCAAAGCCCCACTGCATGGGTCTGAAGCCGGGGCCCCAAGCCCTGCCAAGAGGGGCTGAAGATGAAGCCTTAGCAACTTAACTTCGCAGGGCCCCCTGTGGTGTGGGGCCCCAGGCAATTGCCCTGCTTGCTGATGCTGGCCCTGGCTTTGATATGCAGAAAAACAGTTGCCGCAAAGGTGTTCCGTGGAGTTTTTATAGCATGTTTGGGGGAGGGGGGAGGGGGCTCAGAAAGAAAAAATGTTGAGAACCCCTGACTTAAACAACGTAAATCTTGACATGATGTACTGATGATTATGGAGTCCTGCATTATGAACGGAGAAGGGTGATTATCCCGTGAATCACAACATACTTGACTTGCCATCTTTTCTCTCCCTATTGTATGAAGCATCAGAAAAATCTGTCCAGAACAATATGTGGGTTGCCTGGCTCCCCAATATAATGCTTCCCCACAAAATTTCTGGTAATGGATGGCTAAGGGCTGGAAAGGACAGCAAATTCTGTGTTCCCCTATTGGCAAGAGGAACACTATATTAGGAACATATCATATAAGGTATTGCCCATCCCTGTGATACAGCCCTAGCCACATTTATGAACATGCAGAGGTGAGTGGCAACTTTGATTAAAGGCAGAGGTTTTTTTAAAACTGCATCTGCAAGTTTACACCACAAGAGCAGCATGAATAAGAACCAAAAGCAATGGTGTTATTGTTTCAACAAGAGCTGATCTGCTGTTATCTTCTGCAAATGTACAGATTCAAAGGAAGAGCGCACAAAGACTCTCACAGAGCAGCAAGTATAAGAGTTAAAGTTCCCAAAAGTGAAAGGTCTGATAAATTTACCGTATCTGAATGACTTGTCATTAGACAATCTCCACATTTAATCTGAGACATGATACAGATTTTTTTTGTCCCAACATAACAACTGTGGGTAAGAGCTCTTAAAAAGAGTTTAAGTGATTTAGGAAGATAACTCCTAAATCCCATTTCAAAGAGGACTGCATCAAAGCACATTAACAAACTGTGCATCAGCAGTGTCCACACAGACGGTCTGCAGCAAGCTAATACAGGGTAGATTCACACCCCACCTTGGCATGAATGATTTCTTAATGTAGACAAGCCCTCAGTCCCACTGAAAATCAATAGGACTTAGGTGCCTAAGTCATTTAGCTACTTCTAAACTGTTTACCCAACTTATCTTTTGGGGAAATTATGTACAGGTGATTCAAACCTTTCCGCTATGACCAAGACACTATGGGCATGTCTACACGTACAACGTTGCAGCGGCACAGCTGTGCTGCTCCAGCACATCTGGTGAAGAGGCTGTATGCCAGCAGGAAAAAGCTCTCCCGTCAGCATAATAAAACCACCTCCAGAACACCAGAAGCTATGTCGGTGGGAGAAGCTCTGTGCACACGAGCACTTATGTCGGTGTAATTTATATAGCTCGGGAGTGGCTTATTCACACCCCTGAGCGACATAAGTTATGCCGACATAGGCTGTAGTATAGGCATAGCCTATGTCTTTTCTTCACCACCACTCCCAAACCCTTTCCTCTTTTACACTTTCCGCTTTTCTCACAATCAATTCTCTCACTGTTTCAATTGTCACCAGTTAGAAATGGTAAGATTATCTTTGACTAGCAATTTCTTCTCCAGCTGTATTTTTCATGTGGTTAAATTGGCATTTATCACTTTATAAACAGTTTGCATATCTAGAAAGAGAGAACCAGGCAGAGACTACATTAGTTCAAAAAAGGGCCAAGTTTATATAATTCAAGGACTGTGTTGAAAAACAGAAGATGTAGAACCAGAAATTAATTAACCAAAATTGGTGTGTCAGATATTAGGCATAATCGGTAGACAAAATAATGAGGGGATGGGCTATTCCACCAATCACTCCCTTTTTGGGGTCATTGAAAGATAAAGGCTTTGGGAGAAAAATACAGAACAGATGGAGGCTACTGGCATGAGTGTCACCATCGTGGCGGCCACCCCCACCATCTCCCCAGATCTTCTTTGTCTTAATCCTGACGGCCAAAGAGAGGGACACTGATAACATTGCCACCTCTACCAGCTCCAGCAGAATCCAAAAAACCACTTGGAATGAAATAGGACAGGATTTTAACAAGAGAAGCAGCAACAGCCACTCCAGCTCATCTCAACTAATTTCTTCTCTTTTATCCAAAAGGATGGCATTACCTTCTCTGATACCATCTAGGAGACAATCTAAGAAGGTTTTTATTTTTTTCCTTTTAAAACTCTTTCCAGATAAAGGGAAAGGGAACAAGAAATGTCATCAGAATGAAAGCTTTACTTAGTACTTTACATTTAAAATGCTTTAACTGTTTTCTCTTCTTCTCTGTATCTTTAATAAAAGGTTAAAAGGCTTTTTAATGGGGTCTTTGCCATCGTACTAAGCAGGCTCAGGTCTCTGTATACCAAACTCCTTGTTTAACACTGTTTAATGTCAGTCAGTGACTGGTTATGTTAACACCTTTGGCTCATTTATTCCATCTAAATTAACATAGCACACCCTTATGGGGCTTCTCTATTACTTGTCTTCCTATTTGCTCTCTTCATTCATCTCACAATTCTTCTATTGCATTAATTCTTCATGCCTTTTTTTTCTACACAAAACTCTTTAGAACTCACTTTCTCTTTATGTGGGCATGTTTTCACTATGGAGCTAAATCGGCACTGCTGCAATCGATGTGGCGGCATCGATTTAGTGGGCTGGTGAAGACGTGCCTAATTGATGGGAAAGCATTCTCCCACTGATTTCTGTACTCCACCTCCCCGAGAAGTGTAAGGTCAGTTGGCAGGAGAGCATCTCCTGTCGACACAGTGCAGTGTAGACACTATGGTAAGTGGATCTAGCTACGTCTACTTCAGTTACGTTATTCACATACCTGAAGTAACATAGCTTAGATCAATTTACTGCAGTAGTGTAGACCATGCCTGACTCTCTCATTTTATATCCCATCTTATAACCTGTCTCTTTTCCTCTCATTAATGCACTTCTAATGATCTCTTGTCTTCTCTCTTCCTCTTTTTGCTTACCCAATATTTTGTACTCATTCAGGACAATCACAGCTGTTGATTTTTTTGCTTTTGGTGATTACTGTATTTTATTCCCGTCTCTCTCTGTTGTCTTTCCATGGAGCAAGGGTGCTACATAAATAGAATGTAATGTTACCAGTTCAAACACAATCTAGACAAATATTGACCAAAACCTGTTACTATTTAACAGCTAATTGGTAGCTTATGGAATGGTGTTCTCAGTCTGTTTCCTGGTGGCCACATGCCTATATAACAAAAACCATCCCCATGAACACTGTTTGCATTTATTGGTCCCTTAGTTGATGATTTCTGGACATCAAGAGTAAAGAGAGTGCCCTAGTCAAACACTCCATTGACCTCTCAAAAGAAATAAGTACAAAGGGAACATTTTAATTTCCAGTAGGGACTAGGATATGGTAATAAATAATTCTGCTGAGGGAACACGAGGGAAAGGCACAGAGATATACTTATTATTTTTTAAAATCAGCATCTCTCTAGGTGAATTAGACTACAGAGCTCAGAAAGGAGAAAATTTACTATAGTATAGATCACAAGAGTTTTGTAGCTACCGCTTTTACCGTTAAAATGCAGTGCTATTATTTTTACCAGATGTCAACCCCAACGCATAACAGTTTACAACCCTATTTTGCTTCCATTGATGTAAATAGGATATATGCTTTATAGAGTGAACAGTATTTCCTGGAAGCTATAAAATAGATCCCATTTTCAAAAACATCCAAGTTACAATCAGTTTTCTTGTCCTTACAACTGCACAAATTTGAAGATTAATATAAAACTCAAAATAAATCATCTCAGAAGCCTTCAAAGGACATTGTTTGCAACTTTAAAATTATTGGGAAAATGTTCTCCCTTACCTGTCCCCCATAATAAAACTCTTCAGAATCATTATCTCCTTCAGAATCTTCTTCAACTGCACTATTGTGCCTTGAGTCCTTATTTAAAAAAATAAATAAATGTTAGCAAATGAAACAGGAGAATGACATTTGCTTTTCTTCTTTTTGTAATTATGTATGTTACAAATAAACACTTCACACACTTTATTTAGAGTTTTCATTAGTAACTTCTAGGCAAGAGGATCGTGGGCCTGATTCAACCAATGAATGGCAAAATTAAACTGTGTCCCTATAGGTAGGGCCCAACCAAATTCATGGCCATGAAAAATGCATCACAGACCGTGAACTCTGGTCTCCCCACCCGAGAAATTTGGTCTTTTGGGTGCTTTTACCCTATACTATGCAGATTTAATGGGGGAGACCAGTGTTTCTCAAATTGGGGGTCCTGACCCAAAAGGCAGTTGCAGGGGGGGGGTCACAAGGTTATTTTAGGGGGGTTGCGGTATTGCCACCCTTACTTCTTCGCTGCCTTCAGAGTTGGGCAGCCAGAGAGCGGCGGCTGTTGCCCGGGCGTCCAGCTCTGAAAGCAATGCCCAGCTCTGCAGTCAGCAGTGCAGACGTAAGGATGGCAATACCATACCATGCCATCCTTACGTCTGCGCTGATGCTTGAGGTGGCTCTGCCTTCAGAACTGGGCTTCTGGCCAGCAGCCGCCACTCGCCAGCTGCCCAGCTCTGAAGGCACCGCCACCAGCAGCCATTCAGAAGTAAGGGTAGCAGTACCGCAACCCCCCCTACAATAACCTTGCGACCCCCCCCCCCCATAACTACTTTTTGGGTCAGGACCAGTGTTCCCTCTAATTTTTTACGTCCATGCGTGGAATGAATTTTGTTATGTGCACCAATATGGAGGTGATGTGTGGTGGGGCCAAGGGGTTCAGAGTGTGGGAGGGGGCTCAGGGCTGGGGCAGAGAGTTGGGGTGTGGGAGTCTGGGGGTAAGGGCTCTGGGGTGGGGCTGGGGATGAGGGGTTCAGGGTGTGGGTTCTGGAGTCTGGCTGGGGATGAGGAGTTCAGGGTGCGGAAGGGGGCTCAGGGCTGGGGCAGAGGGTTGGGGTGTGGGGAGGTGCAGGCTCTAGCGTGGGGCCGGGGATGAGGGGTTTGGGGTGCAGGCTGCCCCTGGGCTGCAGTGGGGAGAGAGAAGACTCCCCCAGCCCTCTCTCGCTGCAGCAGTTCGTGGCCAGGGGAGAGGCGCCTCTCTCCAGCCATGGCAGCTCCGGGGGGGCTGGGTTGGGCCGAGGGAGGGGCTCCTCTTCCCTGGCCGTGGCAAGTCTGGGGCAGGTCCGTGGTGGAGCCGGTGGGGAGGGGCACTTCTCCCCGCTGTGGCAGGTCTATGGGGGCGTCGGTGCAGAGGGGCACCTCTCCCCGCCGCTGAAGGTCCGTGCTTTGGCCGGCAGGAAGGGGCGTCTCTCCCCACCATGGCAAATCCATGCTTTGGTTGGCAGGGAGGGGCGCCTCTCCCCGCCACGGTAGGTCTGTGCTTTGGCTGGCGAGGAGGGGGGCGTCTCCCCGCTGCTGCAGGTCTGCGCTGGGGGCGGCCAGAAGGGGAGCCTCTCCCCGCCACAGCCCTGTGCAGGGCTTAATACGCAGCTGCGCACCTGTGCAGGTTAGAGGGAACTTAGGTCAAGACCCTTACAATTACCCGTGAAATTTCAGATTTAAATAGCTGAAATCATTAAATTTACAATTTTTAAAATCCTATGACCGTGAAATTGACCAAAATGGACCATGAATTTGGTAGGGTCCTACCTATAGGGCATTAACCTAATGTATTCTGGCAAATCAACTATAATAGTCTATATTAATTTGTCAACAACATAAATAACACTTAGATTTTACATTAAACATTCATCTTCAAATCCCTCTAAAAGAATTCACTTATTAATTTACACTCACAATAGGGACGACTCATAGAAAAAGGTACTATTTTATCAATTTAAGTTAGAAAGTCACACTTTAATCCTTGCTTAATGTCATTCAACTGTTTAAGGACATTATTTCTTGTTTTCCCACAATCCATTTGTCATTCACAGCCCTTATGTTAACAGGAGCTTACATAAATTGAATATTTGATAAAATCATAAAGACAAAATTCTCCTATTTGATCCACACTTTATCTACTGCACATTTTGCATTCACAGGAGGCACAAAATTTCCATAATGACCCAGAAATCAACTGTGTGAATTGAACAGAATTTTCCTTTTAATCTTATAGATTCAGAAAAGTGAGATATACTTTTGCCACCAATTTTCATGGCCTCATATTCTAATCTTATCTCCTTACCTCTGCCTGTAAATTCATACTGTATGCTGTGCACGTGTATATTGAGTGAAAATCGTATTTTCAGCCAATTTAATAGCAATTTTAAGACTTTTTTTGCTGGTATTTTACTGAAGAAAAACAAAAGAATGTATTCAGTCTCCACTGCCTAATAATAACCTTAACTCCATGGGAAGCATGCTGCAAATATAAACAAAATAAACACACCAACAACAGAAACAAAGAGAAATGAAACTCCTCATACTAAAAGAGTGATAAACCCAGCATATATGATATAATCACACAATGAAGTAAAGACTGTGATTGTCTGGCTCACAGAGATGGTTGGTGTTAAAGATTTTCATTAAAAGGGTCTCTTAAATAAATACCTTACTTGGATCCTAATTCAATTAAAAAATTTATAAAAAGTTCAATTTCTTTGCCATGAAAATTAAACCTATCTCAAGCTTTTAATCGTGAAAATAAATCTAACTTCACCTAAAAAATTTTAAAATAAAAATATTTCTTCACCAGGAATGTACTCCATAGTACTTTGTAATTTGTGACTATTTTGGTTCTCTAAGCTTTAAAGATCATTGAATAAAATTCTGTGATAGTGCAAGTCAAAAATTTCCACTGCAACTTCTTATATCAAATAAGGGCCTATATGCTACAAACACAACCACATCAGGAAACCTCGCTGCCACAGGGTTGTCCTATATCTCAGTATAAAACATGTGATGAAACCAGCAAACCATTACAATCAAATATAGACTACAATTCAGGAACTTATCCTTATTCGAGAAAGCATTTAACATTAAGCATGTGCTTAAGCACTTTCCTGAATCAGGGCCATAAAGTGCTTAAGCCCTTTGATTCCAGTGGCAGTAATGTGATAATATGCTTGGTAATAAGGGTTTGCCAGACTGAGTGTCACCAAAGACTTCATCTTAATGCTGTTTCTTAACTAGGTTACTTCCTTGAAACCAAGTATAAATTACACACTGGAATCATGGGGCCTGATACTCCAAAAACCACCTATTGTTCACTCTGTCATGAACAGGTCCATTGACTTCAATGAGACTGTCACGCTCACATTAGTAAGCACTTAGCTAGGAAGTGAATGTTTGAAATATCTGGTCCTGTGCATAAAATCAGATTAGGAGATAACTGCTTTGTGACCAGCGTCTCTGACACAGTTGTACTTTCAAGGCAGAAAGCGTTATGGGGAAGGTTCAGTCATCCTAGATTGATAACACTTTGCATATCTTTTAACAGCCTCCTTGCAAAACTATAGATTATTTGTATACATCTGGAGTGAAATCCTGACCTCTTTGATGTCAATGGCAAAAGTCTCATTGACTTCAGTGGGGCCAGAATTCCACACCAGTGTTTGTTTTAACAAATTAAATGCAAAGGAAATATTAAGTTATGTTTTGTAGTTTGTTACTCTACCTTCCAATGAAAATATGTATAAGGACTACATTAATAAAGCAATACCATACCTCTCCATTTTCCCTCTGTAATTTTGATTTTATAGATAAGCAACAGTTAACATCACTGGTTTTTCTTAATTCTAAAAAAAAATAATTAAAAAGGAAAATAGTTAATAGCCATGACAAATCTAAAATCATTTTATTTATGTAATTAAAAAACAGAACTGAAATAAGTGTAGTAGTAGTAGTAGTATTTGCATTACTGTAACACCTAGATGCCTCAGTCATGGACAAGGACTCCACTGTACTAGGTGTTGTACAAACACAGAACAAAAAGACAGTCCCTGCTTCAAAGAGCTTACAATCTAGCAATATAAAAACAAGAAGCCAAGATGCCTCAGGAATCCATGATTCTACAATACAAAATGCTGCATAAATAGGTGTTTCCCCATCACTTTTATTTACTTGTAAACTAGACTTAAGCTATGTCCACACTTATGGAGGTGTGTAGAGTACAGGACCTGCATATGTAGCTACTCGCTGCAGTGAATGGCAGGCTGTGGCCACACTTACTGCACTGCGGTGTGTGGTTGTATGCCACAGTGAAAGGCTCTGGCCAACATGTAGACAACAGGGAAAGGCTCCGGCATTGGGCAGGCAACAGGACATTATAATAGCTGGGTAAATGCCCTGGGAGGCACTGCTTGGGAGTGTAGAGGGCCATGTAGAGTATATACCCTGGAGGTTCAGGTGTGTAGGGCCCAAGCCATGCCTCACTGTCTACACTGCTATTTATAGCTGTGCTAGTTGGGTGTGCACTGTCTGTACTGTACATGTCACCGTTATTGGGTGCCATTTTAAATTTCTTCTATGCTGGAATGTTACAAGATGACAATTGAGATACTGATTTTAATTGGATTTTACATAAGAATAAAAGAAACTGGCAAAATAAAGTCATTTCATTTTCTTTACAGAGACAAAGGTTTTGTTTTGATGTTTAATATAAAATTTCACACTTGATTTAAAAGTATTATAACATGGGTATCTTTGAATGAAAAAAATGAAGATCTGATTAGGATCTCACGGCTGTTTTGCTTCTCTGTAACTCCACTGATTTACATCAGTTTAAGTGAGATCAGATTAAGGGCCTAAAATGTTTGCTTTCTAGCAACTTTGTACCAGTTTTCCATTCCTGCACCAAAAGTATATTTTTCAGGCTAATTCTATGTTAAACACAAAAAACTATGTTAAAATAACATTATTAAGGTTGCAAAGTCAAGCACCCCAAAGTTAGAAAATGATAGAATTAAGGATGCCTGTGCAGTCTCCTTTGTACCCACTGGCTCCCAGTCCCCCATCCCTAGCTCCTGTTTCCTTCCCAGGCTTCCAGTCCCACTCTCTTTGACCAGCCAGTCGCAGTTCCCTTTCCCAGCCAATCCCAGGTTGTCCCCCAGCTCCCAGTCTCAGCCTCCACCCTTGCCTCTCATCCCACCCCAACTCCCACTCCCAGTTTTTTTCTCTCCTCCTGGCAGCTTCCAGTCACAGGCTCACAATCTACTGATCCTGCCACTCCAGCTCTTGTCCCCTCTGGGGTCCAATTTGACAGCTTCCTCCTCCACACTGCCTGGGTCCTGCAGGGGAGTCACTGAGAGCACAGGAGAATTTTTCTACTCTCAGTTCACATGCCTAGACCCAACCCAGCACAGCTTGCAGCAGCTCAGAGCTGCAATTGCAGGGAAAGTCAGCCCCGCGCTGCAACATGCTCATTGTGGACAGAATCTTTAGGGAATTTAGCAGCTGAGCATATGTGAACTGTGATTTTTAAAAGCTTATAACGTAGCCAAAGGTGGGCAGATTTTCATGGGGTTGGCATAAGGTACATATATGACACTACCCGGGCAAATTTCAAATCTGTTCCAAAGCATGAGGTTGCTAGAGCTTTTCAAAGATAAGGGTGCTGGATTTTTTTAACATGGTCAAAACAATGTGTTCTTCCCTAGCTTTGTTCTCAAAAATAGCTAAACCACTTTTGCTGAAAATTAAAAAAAAAATCAGCCTGAGGTAGATAACTGACATAGAAATGTTCATCCCAAATGGTTAAAGTTTAACAAAGTGATAAGCAAATGAAAATGAGGTCTTACAAAGGGAAGTGTTGGGCAGCCTTAATGATAGGCAACTGTGTCCCATTGCATTCAAATAGGACTGCTTTAGCATGATTGCAAGCCATGGAATGAGTGAAAACATATATTGCCTATACACTCCCCAAAAGAAATATTTTCGTTGCTTCTATTCCAAAAGGTATGACCATACCCAACAATGAGCTTGTGAAAAAACTACAAGATGCACAGCAATCCGTATTGGCATATCATCTTTTATGTATGGGCAGTATCCTGCAGCCCCCAAAACTTTAACTTGAAAAATCATTTGTGACTCAATATTACCTGTTGCGATTCTATGGAAAATTACTGGGATTGACTCTGTTGTAACTAACACATCTTCATCATTATCTGAACTGGAAACATATGTGTTATCTATAAAAGAGAAACAGTTCTTAGGATAATGGGTACATAATAAGGGCCTGATCCACAGCCCAATGACACCATCCAAGCAGCCTCCCAGGCTGCCCCCCAGTATGCTTCCATCTGTGACATAAAGGAACTACTTCGTATCTGTGGGTCTCCTATGTGCGCTGAAGTGCCTAAATATGCAAAACATATAAAAATAGGAGAAAGGAAGGTTAACTTCCTTTGGCCCTGATCTTTCAACGAGCTCTAGGCAGGATGGACCTCCTGTGCCACGCAGAGTCCCACTGAAGGCAATGCATTGGCCCAGTGATTCACTTCTGGCAGGACTGGGTCTTTCAACCATAAATACATGGTGCTCATTTGGCATCATCACAGCATGTGTTAGCTAATATACAAAGATCAACGGAACAATAGGCAATAACATTTCTACAATCTACGTCAGCCAATGTGTATCATTATGGACATTTATTTACTGGCAAAATACTCAATGTCTCCCACAGGAGTCATGCAGATACACTGTATCGGTTCATATTAATGGAACTTTACTATACTCATTGACAGTATATACAGCTCTTTTGGAGCATAATTATCCTAATATTATGTTACAATTATGAGGAAATGGTTTCAAAGATCATGCTCAGTGCCATTAATACTACTTCTAAAAATATCAGTGATACTTTAATGATTTCAGCTATGTATAAACAATGTGGAGACAAACTTACTGTTTAAAATAGTTTTAGTTTCACTTACAATTATGCAACTTTTCAATAGCTGGCACTACTGACAGTTGCCACATCACAATGGTTCAGGGACTTAAGGCTTAATGTTCAGCTGTTTCCAATCACTCAGAGATTTGTGAAGCAATTCATTCAGTTTTAGGTGATGATTTCAACATTGTTACTAGTGCCATAGTGATAATGTGACATAGGTAACAGAAATGTATGAAACTGATGTACCCATAATTCCCTGAGCTGTTCCTATAATATCTACAAATTTACCTGCTGAGGATTCCCCTTCAGTCTAATTAACACCCAAACATCTAGGGCAACAATCTGTTCTGGGTTATTAAACATAGTAGCAGTCTGTTTGGTGATCACAGTCTATTCTTGCTCTGCATGGGCACATGGATCCACTCTTACCTATAAATTAGCAAGATTAGGGCCTTAGTCACTTGTTTAGGAGTTTTCTAAAAGGTGGAATACACATTAAAATGAAAAAGATTACAAAAAGAGCATACAGATTCTTGTCATTTATAGTAGTTTTGACCTTTAAGACTTATTATGTCTTGATCCTAAAAGGCCTGATGCAACAAAGCACCTAAGCACATGCTTAAGATTAAGAACACAAGTAGTCCCATTGACTTCAAGCACATGTTTAAGTGCTTTGTTGGATCAGAGCCAGAATGTTCAGCACTTTACTGGATCAAGCTATATATTTCATACCAAACAGGAGTTAGGTTGTTTTTAGATTATCATCACTGACAGCTTTAGACATGGTAAGCGTCACAACCCCCTTCTCGCTAAACTCGTGAATCAGGTTTTCTCACCCTCACCTGGCTGACAAATGAAGGCTGAAAAGGAGAAATGACTGTGAAAACAATCTAACTAACAGGAAATGATTAGCAAAAGAAGCTCCTAGAACACATTAATGCTCTTTCAAATATCTTCATCTGAACCTCTGAATATTGCTCTAACAATGATATTTGCTTCAAGCACAAGAATGTTTCACTATACCTGGATAATCCTCCGAGACATGTACTGAATAGGATATGCTGAAAGAAACAAAAAAGAAAGAAACAAGAGTGTTAATAACAATAACAGTTAGCAGAAGAATTTTCTCTACTTCTGTATTATCTGTTTATTTATAGATTTCTGACAGCTTCTAAGACAGGAGGCAACAGCTACCTTGACAGCTTTTGAAGTGCTTAGCTCAAAAATGTAATGGCCCATTTCAAAGGTTTACTTCTGCTAAACCAGCTCAGGTCTAAATTAAACTGTCTTAAAAATATCATGATTGCATTATAAAGTGTTCTCTCTACAGTAATATTTCACTGCCTCCATTGAGCCTACTATGTTTTATTTGTTTAAATGTATACATATGTCCCAATCCTACAATTAGTTCCATGTGGGCATAACACTGACTTCAGTGGGATTGTATAGGTGTAGAATAATGGTGGGCAATCTGCGGCCCATCAGGGTAATCCACTGGCAGGCCGCTAGACCATTTGTTTACCTCTGCATGGCCGCCCGGAGCTCCCAGTGGCTGCAGTTCGCTGTCCCTGGCCAATGGTAGCTGTGGGAAGCGGTGGCCAGCACGTCCCTGTGGCCCACGCCACTTCCCGCAGCTTCCACTGGCTCGGAATGGTGAACTGCGGCCACTGGGAGCTGTGGGAGGCCGTGCAAAAGTAAACAAACAGTCTGGCGGCTCGGCAGATTACCCTGATGGGCCGCAGGTTGCCCACCACTGGTGTAGAAGTCTGCCCACTGGCAGCTAAGTGCTGAATCAGACCCATGGACTTAATTATTTTAAGAAGGTTAATGTGCATCCTTATTTTACACCAAGCAAATTAATCTTTGTAGCATGCTGAAAGCTTTCCACTGTATAATTCATGTACTTTTCTTTTCAGAATTCATATATATATAATACGTGTCTACCTGCATATCTAAATAATACAGTCTGGTGTGTGCACCATGGTCACATCAGTGTAAAACTGATGAGGAAAAAATATAGTGCTGATCCTCCATAGGTAGAACTCCCAGTGGAATCAAGAGGTGATTCTACATGCATAGGACTTTCAGGATCAGGTCCTTGGATTAAAAATATCCTCAGGCCAGATTCTGCAAACAACTACAACAAAGTTTAGGTCCTGATCCAAAGCCTGTTTAAGTCAAGGGGAGCCTTGCAACTATGATTTAGTCCCAGTGGAGAGTGGGACAGAGGACAGAAGACAGATGTGTGAATAAACCATGAAAAAGGGAAAAGGAGGTAGAGATGCTTGGAAACCTTGAAGTTATGAAAAAGGAAATCAAGGTTAGAAAAGAAAAGAAAAGAAAAGAAAAGAAAAGAAAGGTTTTGTGCTCCTAGTAACAGCCTGGAGTGGGGAAGGGGAACTCCTAGATAAAATCTGCACAAAATTTTGAAGTTTCCTCCATTTGAGAGAGTAAAAGGAGAAAATCTAACTGCCAGACTAAAATTAAATGATGATGTTTCACACAGAAGAAGCAATTTAAAGAGGCAGATGTATTCACAAGGTTAAAAATAAATAAATGCTTTAAAAAGTAAGGGATGTTAATTTGGAGTAAAAAATAAAATCTGCATTTTTATTAGAAACACCGCCAATCTAGTTTAAAGCCTAAAATTTAGTAGGAAATCTGTCTATTTCCTATAGATTTCTTACTTCTGATGTTGAAAGAAAACCAAAAATGTAATTAAATTTAATTAAATTCACTGCAAAAAGTGGTTCCCCCCCTTTAAAATTAAATATTTTCTGAGCACGCAGGGGAATTTGTACTGCCCCTCTGGAAGGGCATAATAATGGGGTGCTCCCCATGTATGCTGCAGCATTTGGAGGCACTGTGCCATATGTAGCTCCCACTGGGGCAGTTTGCCTCCACATCGGCCTTTACTCAGGCTCTGCCTATCATGCACAATTGAGCCCGTAGTTAGGGAACACAAAGCTGTTCATTTGAACCTGTGGAGGGAAGTAGCATAATGCTTATGCTTGTAATCGTACATTAGTTACGTTCAACTTCCGGAAAAATGTTTAAAAACCTGAATTTGTTTTAGTGCCAAAACACTTCTCTCATTTCTATGCATGAAAAGCTACATTATTTTTAATGCATTAATGGCAAGCTACTTCCTACCGATTGTACACCTGCTATATTTTAATTGAACCCTTAAAGCAATTCCAGACTTGAACAATCTCTCAAAGACTGGCAGTCACTATTCAACCAATCTCCAATTGATTTCAAAGGCAGTTTGGGCCAAGAGAGAATCAAAGGATTGGGGAGTTAAGTTTGACCACGTCAATGGCAATTGATTTCAAAGAACATTGTGGATGTTTAACACCCCACCGGACTAAAACTTTAGAGAGCAAAAAAGCTTCTGTACTTTATTTTGTCAGTGCTCAGAGAGAGGCAATTGAAATTAACTTAAACCTGGTCTACATACAGTATTACTATTTCAGTTAGGCAGTGGAGCTTCCTGCAGCTGGGGGAGGTACTCGGAGATGGGTCTGATCTCCCCAGAGAGAGGTGTGCAGGGGAAGAAGTGGCCTGTCCCTTCCCAGCCTAGCCAGGACCAGATTAGACCCACCTCCGGGAACCTCCCCCAGCTACAGGAAGGAGCTCCACAGCTGCTGCCTTCAGAACCCAGCTCTGAAGGCAGAGCAGACGTGAGGGTGGCAATCCCACAATTCCCCTACAACAGCTTTGTGACCCTTTTGGGTCAGGACCCTCACAAACAACACCATGAAATTTCAGATGTCAACATCTGAAACTGTGAAATTGACTAATTTTAAAATCCTACGATCATGAAATTGACCAAAATGGACCATGAATTTGATAGCCTGGGTACTTATACCAGTATAGCTTATTTCCCTTCTCATACAGGAATAAGCAAATTTATACTAATATAATTGTCTCCGCATTAGGAAGGTTGCACCCCTAGACAATAACCGCATAGTTAAAGTGGTACAAGTTTTAGGTGGTGGCATGGGCTTAGTGAGGATGCTATCTCAGCATCATTTAGCTCTGTAGTTCTCAAACTTTTGTACTGGTGACCCCTTTCACATAGCAAGCCTCTGAGTGAGACCCCCTTATAAATTAAAAAAACACTTTTTTATATATTTTACACCATATAAATGCTGGATGTAAAACAGGATTTGGGGTGGAGGCTGATAGCTCACAACCCCCCATGTAATAACCTCGCGACCCCCTGAGGGGTCCCAACCCCCAGTTTGATAACCCCTGATTTAGCTTATTCCTGCGACAGACAGCAGCTCCTTTGTAGAAGACATCCTAAAGCAAATACATTCCTTGACCTTCAAGCTCAGAACAACCTTTATAATAGAAATATTATTACAAAACATTTGTTACTTTGCAGACAACATTAAGGGAGCATATGAGAAGTTAGAGCGAGATGTCATGTTTCACTGCTTATGATATTTTAAAGTAAACTTATTGCTTAAAATAATATCCACATTTATAGCTGCAGCCCTAGTTTAATGATAATTTTATGCAGGGTATGCTTCATGCAAATGGTTTTAAGTGTATATTGTACTAGTTCTCCATTTACAGAGATAATCCTGAAAATCCTTATCTGTATTTTACGGGAGTTCATAAACCGGATTTGGGTGCACATTTGTAATACACTCTATGTTCATCACAGAAGATTTTTAACAGTAGTTATTTTTATGATGAATTGATTATCTTTATATACAGTCTCATCTGAGATTTGGCATTACTGTATTTTTTTAAGTTGGTTGAAATGTTTGTGGGTACAAAGGTATGGATTTTATTTCATTTTCATGTAGTATGTATAGAGAACTGAATTTCACAGATACCATATCTGTGTGTGTATATATAAAATTAGATTATGGCCCACTGAAGATAAGGCTTCCAAATATAACAAATCTGACAATACATCGATATCTCAGAACATGTTTATTGAAGACAATGCACAGGCTACCATTGCCATCAATATGAGTGCTGGATCAGGCTCTTAGCAAACACATTCAATCTCTTTCACTTGATAATTATATGGGAAGAAGAAGATGACAGGTTTATACTAATTTGATTAGAAGAAGCTCATTCCTGACCCACCACCATGACGCAGTACCAAAATCACACCTGAATACTGTGGCCCCAATCCTGCAAAGGGGTATGCCCAGGTGTACTGCTTCTCCTGTGTGGAGTCCATTGGCTACATAGGATCAGGCCTATGGCAATAAAACCTTTAAACCAGGGGTGGCCAACCTGTGGCTCCAGAGCCACATGCGGCTCTTCAGAAGTTAATATGCGGCTCTTTCTACAGGCACCGACTCCGGGGCTGGAGCTACAGGCGCCAACTTTCCAATGTGCCAGGGGCTGCTCACTGCTCAACCCCTGGCTCTGCCACAGGCCCTGCCCCCACTCCACCCCTTCCCGCCCCCTCCCCTGAGCCTGCCGTGCCCTCGCTCCTCTCCCCTCCCCCCCCAGAGCCTCCTGCATGCCACGAAACAGTTGATTGGGAGGTGCGGGGAATGAGGGGGAGACACTGATCGGCGGGGCTGCCGGTGGGCGGGAGGCGCTAGGAGCCAGGGAGGGGAAGCTGATGGGGGGCTGCTGATGTATTACTGTGGCTCTTTGGCAATGTACATTGGTAAATTTTGGCTCCTTCTCAGGCTCAGTTGACCACCCCTGCTTTAAACTATACTCCTCTGCATAGACAACCCCAGTGAAAAAAGCTCTCAAGTAGCAAAACAGTCTACTGAAGCAGAGCAGCTTAACAACAAGAAAAAGTAGCTAACAGTTGTTGCATCTTTGTATTTTAAGATTTCAAGTCATTAGAGTTTTACTTGGAGTAAAATCAAATACAAGGGAAAATAAACCACAGCAATGTTCTCACATAATGTTAAGTATCTGATTTAAACCTGCAAAAACAAATACATTTGGGTTTACAGCTATCTCATTCTGTGTCTAAATATTGCAGGTTTTATGTATCACAGTATAGTTTGCAAAATCATAGGATTATCCTAGAACCACACCAGTTAAGCTACTAACATGCCATAAT